ACTGTATCCCTTTAGCACTTGGCTGGTCTGTACAGTTTCTACACCAGCCCTTGTTCTTGAGAAAAAGGACAATAAAGAAATAACAAAACACCAAACTGGATAACTGAAGGCAAAAAAAAATAGGGGAAAATTTTGAAATGCCCCTCCGAATTCGGCTTATTTGTGGAATGCCCCTCTGACGGCTGACTTACCCTGTCATGCCCCTGGGGCCTTTGAAGTTTCCTGCAGACCCTTGTCGGTGAGGGGTGCAACTTTCCAGCATGCACCTATGGGCGTTGGTGGCACTTGCAGCCATTCACCTGGCCCTAGGAGAGGAGCTCCCGGGGCATACTGGAAATTTAGAATGGATACCTGTAGGGGCATATTTCAGGCCCAAACGATGCCAGGGGCTTTTCAGAAACTTCGATCTTTGTCAGAGAGGAGCGAAAGGGTAGGTCGGCTGTCAGAGGGGCACACCACAAAAAAACGGAAGTCGGGGGGGCATTCCCCCCCCCCCCCCCCCATGCAAATGATGGTGTTTCTATGCGTAGAACAACAGAAAAATTTGCAAGTACATATTCAACTACTCTTTCTCTGTTCGATTCTTCCCCGTATCATTACAAACAACCAGACATAAGTAAAGGTAAAAAAAAAATAAAAAAATGGTACAACCAGGGTTGCCGGCGTTCGGGACGGGCCGAACACCCGAACCCGAACGCCCGAACGTTTGGGACCCCCTCTCGACGCGTTCGGACGTTCCGCCGAACCCGGAACCAAAAAAAAAAAAAGTTTCCCAAAAATTCTGAAAAAAAAACAATGTCATGCAGAAGAATAAACTAAACAACATTTGCCTCAACAGTACATCCAAGTTCCTTACCCAATTTGAAATAAAAATCAAATACGAAAAATAAATAATATTAATGAAAATAAGAAAAAATAAAACGAGAATGAAATTATTGCGTGGGCRAGCAAGTTTTTGACACCGCCATCTTTGGCGATTTTTCATTTTTTTTTGGCTTCGTCAAATGCCATGAAATTTTATATATATGTATCTCACATAATAGAGAACCTACAAATAAAGTTTGAAAAAATAGTAATTTTTTTCAGGCCCCGAAATAAAGGGAACACAAAAAGTGAAAAGAGAAAAAAAAACAAATTAGTAAGTGGGAAAGCAAGTTTTGACACCGCCATCTTTGCCGATTTTTCATTATTGTTTGGCTCCACAGAATGACTTCAAAATTGAGAGACAGGTAGCTTACATAACAGAAAACTCACAAAAAAAAAATCAGAAAAAAAAATAATTTTAAAATTTTTAGGTACCAAAATATTTTTTTGCGGGGTCCGAACCCCTTCAAGTTCGGGCCCCGTACGGGGACCCGAACGCCCGAACGTTCGGGGGTCAGCTTAGGGGCCTCCGTACGTTCGGCCTGGCAACCCTGGGAACAACTGTATATAAAACAGTCTTGAAGGTAAGGTAACCTAATTATGTCTCCAAAGATTAATATATATATTTTTTTAATTATGTCTCCAAAGATTAATATGTAACTTTCTTGTTCCCTGTATTCTTGTCAAACCTACGTCACAAAAATTAAAATTGATAATAGGAATTTATGCGTACCTTTTTATATGTATGTTTAGAGAGAATAGGGCTTTACAACTTCTGTAATTTTATTTGTATTTTTATGTAGTTGTGAATTTAACCACCAGTGGTACTTCCTAAAGTCATGCCCGTTAACAAGCCACGATTTTAGGAAACGTACAGGCCACTGCAGGAGCGCCCAAATACATCCGACTAGAAACGTTTCTACTTTATGTTTTCCCGCAACCGATAGCCGGGCCAAGTACTGGTGGTTTGAACCGCTAGTACACGGCCCCAGCCTTGCAGAAAGTTTTTGTCGCCACAAGCAAAACTCCGAGGGGCTGTGCGGCGTGGGGCGCCGTTGATAAAAGAAATTGGCGGCCTCTGAAGTGGTGCGGGTTTCGTGCTGACACCCTCTGGCCGATGTGTGGTATACTGGTGCTTTAAGTCATCATGTTAATAACAATCTTATATTCTGAAAAAACTCTCCCCCGACTGTTTAGGTGAGTTTGAGATCGCATCAACATAAAGACTGACCGGGCCCTGACATTGTAAATAAGAAAGTGGTGGGTGTCCGAGTCGATGACCTCATTCCAAGAAAGGCAAAATTATGCAGAAACTTCCAGAAAGGCATCTATAGCCTTTGTTCACTTGACATAAGAGAAAAGCATCTGTTTTTTTTTTTTCCCCCAGCGTCCCTTGGATACATCTTTGTGGTACATCTGTTTTTTGTTGTTAGATATGCGAATGCTTTAGATTTATTGCTCACTGGGAGTCTGCGACAAAGGAGGTTGTAGAAGGCACAGAGTGCCCGGTCTATACAAGATGCAAGAACCTCTTGGAAGCATTTTTCCATACAAATATCTATCAATTCACTGTCGAAAGAAAATCATGCCCACCTGACATGCCTGAGCTAAGACAATGTCGTAACCGGTGATGAGGCTGTGGTGATCATGAAGAAGATCGGGCCCAAGAGATGGAGAAATGTTTCGTAGTAATTCACAGCTAAGACAACGGCGTAACCGCATTTCACATTTTCACGCTTTTTGGTAGGTAAATGTCAGCGGCCTTACTCGACGCGGGGATACACATTTAGTGAGGACCTCGAGAGGTCCCCGTACTTGCATTTTTTTTTTTTTTTGTCATCATTTGTTTCTCGATTGATGAAAGAATTTTCAGCTCGTAAGCAATTACAGGGGGGGGTTTGGCAGGCAGACACTTGCAAGGGAAAAACGAAAAAAGCGACAGGTTTTTGTGCTTCGCACTGTCTGACTGCACGGTGCATATTTTCGCAATTGAATCGGAGGTCGGACTCTCTTTTGTGCAAAAAAAAGGTCAGCCGTGTGACCTGAACGTGGCGTGTAATCGCAAATCCGCTCCCATAAAATTTGTGAAAATATGTGCTACTGTGAGTATGCCCTCAGGTAGGCAGGCGTTTGCGACGGTTTCCATTTCTCTCTCCGGAAAATTCATATACATAGCCTTATCAGGGCATACTCACACTAGCACGCGCATTTTCATAAAATCATAAACTGTAGGTGATTTTTTGGCTCACAAGGGCTACGTATTTTGCGTTTTCACGCAAATGGGCACGTAAATGTCAGCGGCTTGGACAGCTGGGTTACGTATTTTGCGGGAACCTCTGGAGGTCCCCGCAATTGCGTATATTCTTTTGGACCTGTTTCTTTCTGCAAACAAAAAAAAAAGAAATCGGCGTTTGGTGGGCAGCTCTCGTAAGAAAAAAAAAAAGAAAAAAAAGAAAAAAACAGGAAAAACTTCCGAAAAAGGGATGGCTTTTATGCATCGTGCTGTGTGACCCCTCGGCCTGTATAAGTATAATCAGATTCCTAGAGCAGGTCGAGACTGTGTCGTTTCTGTTTTGTGACGTATACGGGTGTGCTGTGTGACTGGGACGTGCCATGTAATCACAAATTGGCTCACATATAACTTGCGATTGTACGCACTAGTGTGAGAATGTCCTCAGGCGGGTATGTGTGCCGTTGAAGGCTTAGCATGACCAAGTACAATCAGGGGTTGTCAGTAATTTTTTTTTCCCGGCTAAGGGCATACTGACACTGGCATGATTTGCACAAATTTTACGTATGCGAATTTGCGTTGATATGGCACCTCCCCCGTCCTCCGGGTCACACTGCTCACCCGTTTGTTGCCCAAAATAGAAAGAAAGGACACGATCACGCCCTGGTCTCGAAATGGAAAATATGTTGTGTACAGTCGCACAGCGCCATGCACAAATATGTCCCTTTTTTTCTGTTTTT